TTTCATGCCCATCACTGGCACCTACGGGCAGAGCCGGCACGGCGAGAGCCCCACGGACGGGCGCGCCCTGCGCCGCTCCAGCCGCGGCTCCTTCACCCGCGGCAGCCTCGAGGATCTCCTCAGCCTCGACCCCGAGGCCCATCAGAGCTCCATGTGGCTGGGCACCGAGGATGGCTGGTAGGTCCCCGGGGTGGGAATTCCTACGTGGAATTCACGCCGGTTCTGGGGGAGCCTCAAGCTTTGCTCTCCTCCTGCAGCATCCACGTGTACCAGTCCTCGGACAACATCCGGAACAGGAAGAACAGCATGAAGATGCAGCACGCTGCTGCAGTCATGTGCATCCTGTAAGTGGGGAAGGGGGATTTTCAGCCCTGGGAGGGCCAGAGCAGGAGATTTTGGGCTTCTGCAGCTGGATGTCAAAGGTGGTTTGTGCCCACAGGTACCTGGATAACCAGGTTTTTGTGTCATTGGCCAACGGGGAGCTCGTTGTGTACCAGCGGGAAGCAGGTGAGCTTGGATTTGGGATGTGGAAAATGCAGCCCCACAGTGGTGGCTGTTGGAGGGTGGCTTGGGCAGCCCCTGGGGAGGGATGCTAGGGGTGGCATCCCTGGAGGGATGCTGGAAACACCACACTCAGAGGCAGGTGGAGATGGGCATTCTTCTCCTGCTCCCTGCCTGCCACTGGAACCCCATGGTGGCATCAGTTTATGTCCCCTCTGAGGGGTGACCTGGAGGAAGTTGTCTTCAGCCACCACACCCCATTGTCCATATCGAGTTGGACTTGGTTTTGGGAACACTTTACCCACCCCACTCTCCCCGCCCTCTCAGGCCGCTTCTGGGACCCCCAAAACTCCAAGTCCCTGTCCCTGGGCTCACCGGGGAGCCCCATCACCAAGATGGTGGCGGTGGCGGGGAAGCTGTGGTGCGGCTGCCAAAACCGAGTCATCGTCCTCAACACCACCACGCTGGCACAGGAGGTACGGGGGGCGGGTGGGCACTCTGGGAGGTGTCACGGGCACCGGTGGCACGGCTGGTGGCATCACCGGTGGCGTCTGTCCCCTCAGCACACGCTGCAGGTGGGGCAGGACGGCGGGCGCAGCGTCACCTGCATGGTGAGCGCGGGCAGCGGCGTGTGGGTCGCGCTGCAGGGCAGCGCCCAGGTGCGGCTGTACCACGCCACCACCTACGAGCAGCTGGCAGAGGCTGACATCACCCCCCCGGTGCACAAGATGCTGGCCGGTAAGTGACACCCGTGACGTGTCTCCAGTGGGTGCCACCGCCGCCTCCAAGGGGTGCCGGCGCCCCTGGAAAGTGCCCCGAAGCATCCGGTGCTGGGAGATTTAGGATGCTGGGTTTGGGGAAGGAGATGTGAGGCCTTGTGGGATTACCCAGGTAATGGTAATCCCATGTGGAAAGGGGGCAGCCCCTGGGGAAATGGATAATTCCGTGCTGAAACATGTGGGTAATCCCATAATCACAGAATCGTGGAATTCCAGAATGGTTTCGGTTGGAAGGGACCTTACAGATCATCGAATTCCACCCCCCTCCCAGGGCAGGGACACCTTCCACTGTCCCAGAGTGTTCCAAGCCCCAGTGTCCAGCCTGGCCTTGGACTCTTCCAGGGATCCAGGGGCAGCCACAGCTTCTCTGGGCACCCTGTGCCAGGGCCTGCCCACCCTCACAGGAAGGAATTCCTCCCGACATCCTCTCAGTGGGAAGCCATTCCCCCTTGTCCTGTCAACCCAATGTGCTGCCACCACCCAGTGGGGGTTGTGAGCTCCCTTCCCCATGTGCCATGTGCCCTGGGGATGGATCCCTGTGGGTGGGGGTTCCCAGCCCTGTGTGGGGCAGGACAAGGCACCGACGCCGGGATGCCCGGCAGGCTCGGATGCCATCATCCGGCAGCACAAGGCCGCCTGCCTGCGGATCACGGCCCTGCTGGCCTGCAAGGAGCTGCTGTGGATCGGGACCAGCGCCGGCGTGGTGCTCACCCTGGCCGTGTCCCCCAAGGCAGCCCCCACGCTGGTGGGGCTGTCCCAGGGCCACACCGGCCACGTGCGCTTCCTGACGGCCATCGAGCTGCCCGACGGCTTGGATGTCCTCTTCCCGCTGCCCAGGGACACGGGTAGGTGGGGTGGCTGGCACGTCCCGGTCCTGGCGCTTTCTGGGGGCAGTGCACAGTGTTTGTGGGGCTGGGAATGCTGTGTTGGATGACCAGGATATGTTGGCGTCCCTGTTCCTTTCTTGCCTTGTTAAAATCCAGGGTGAAAAACTGGCAGTGGAGGGTGAGAAAACTGGATGCCAAACTTCCCTCTACCAGCACGGGCAACCCCAAATTTCCAAGGGAGACCCAAATTCCCATAGTGTCAGCCAGCCCAGCTCCGAGGCAGGGCTGGGATGGGGAGAAGGAGCAGACGGGATGGGAGCTGGCAGGAGCTAATTTGGGTTACAGGGGCCAGTTTGGGCTGGGAGAGGCTGTTGGGATGAGAGGAGGTTTTTGGGGCCGGGATGTGGTGCCTGCAAAGCCGTGGAGGGTTGGTGCTGATGGAGGGTTGGTGCTGATGGAGGGTTGGTGCTGATGGAGGGTTGGTGCTGATGGAGCTCCTGTGGACCAGCGGACATGGTGACAGCATTTTGGGGGGTTCTGCGCCTGGCAGGGGCCGAGAAGCCGAGCGAGGCGGAGAAACGAGACCCGTCCCGGCCCCGTGCCCCCGCCCTGGCCCTGTCCAAGCCCAAGATGTTGGTGATCAGCGGCGGCGATGGCTACGAGGATTTCCGGCTGACCAGCAGCAGCGAGACCGTGGGCCGGGACGACAGCACCAACCACCTCCTCCTCTGGAGAGCGTGACCAGCCACGGCCCCCCCGGGCCGCCCCGGCCAGGATCGGGGGGTGCTGGCCCCCCTGTGCGCAGAGGGGGGGTCCCGGCCCCCTCCCCACCGCCCCCCGCCCCAGCACCTCTCATCTCCAGCCCGGCTGCTCTCTGTGTGCTCGGGGTTGGGGGGATGAGCCCCGCTCCCCCCGCCGTCCCCCCGGCCGCCGCTGGACTCGGGGGGGACACACAGCGCTTCGGGGGCCTCCGGAGGATGGGGAGGGGGCGGGGGTTCGCTTGGGAAGGCGCTGCGGAGGAGGAGGAGGAGGAGGAGGACGGTACCGAGCATCCCTGGGGACCGGCCGGAGGATGCCCGACTGCCCGGAACCTGCCTTGCTCTCCGGTTTTGTGTGTGCCTGCTTCACGGGGCGGGGCCGTCACCCCCCGGGACCCCCGGCCACGCCGCGGGACCACCCCAGGGACAATCCGCCCGCGGTGTCCCCCCCGGCCCGGGCCGCCCGCTAACCCGCTCGCTCCATCGCCAGCACCCAGATAGCTCTGTTCGTTTGTTCGTTTGTTTTAAATATATATATATATTATATATATATAAACATCCTTATTTATTTGGGGGCTTGGGGAGGGGGCAGGGGCATTTCACCGCGCTGCCGGTCCCTCCGCTCCGGAGCCGAGGGGTTCAAACTTCCCGGGCATCGCCCCGAGGGAGAGCCTGACCCGCTGGACCGGGCCGGTGGAGGGGAGGAGGGAAGGAAATTTGGGTGTGCCCCCTCCTTCTCTGTGATTCCCAGTGGGATTGTGCAGCCTGGGAAGTGGGATGAAGGCTCTGCTGCCGTTTGGAGCATCTCTGGATGAGAACAATCATCTTCAGCCACCAGGGCTGTCCCCCAACCCTTCCAATGGGGTGACAGTGTGGGGGACCCTAAAAATGAGACTGTGCTGGACCAACCCTCCCCCATGTGCCCTTTTTCTCCCCCATTTTCCTGCTTTCACCCCAGGATCCAGGCGAGATCAGTGCTCCCACATTGGGACACCCTGTTGTCCCCATGGGAGACGTGACAACCGTGGTGGCAGGGATGAATCAGGGTGTCCCCAGTCCCACACAGCTGGGTGAGTGACAGGAACGCTGCCATCCCACATGGAGCCATCCGTCTGTCCGTCAGCGGGGTGAGTGGGTGTGTGCTATATTTGGGGTGATGAGGATATTTTGGGAAAGGGGTGGGGGGGATTTCGGTCACTCGGGGGCTCTTTGTTATTAAAGGTCACCCGTGCCAGAATGATCCCGGCGTGGTCTCGTCCTTCACCTCGGGATGGGGTGGCAGGGACAGGCTGAGGAGGGGCACGGCTCCCACCGCCCGCTGGGAATGTCACCCACCGGTGCCACAGGTGATGAAGACCCCGGTGGGAGGAAGAAGCCGTTTCCACCACTGGGGTGCAGTTATTCTGCCCTGGATAACCCCGGGGGGGGTATCAGGATATCGCTCCCTTGTGCCACAGAGCATCGGGACACTCTCCGGGTGGACAAGCAGCCGAACAGGGGACACAGGAGGTCCTGGGGAAAACCGAGGGGAATAGAAGGAACGGCAGCCGGGTGTCCCCAGTGTGGGAAAGCTGTCCCCTAGGGAAAGACAAGGCATGGTGTGCTGTAGGAAAGCGGGGTACAGCACTTACAGATGCCCCCTGCGAGCCCACACGGGGAAGAAAACAAAAAAAAAACCTTTTTCTTGCTAATTTAAATTCCTGCTGGGCAGGTGGCACCCGCCCCGTTCTGGTTGTTCCCGTTTTCCCCGCGGCCGGGATAAAGCCCATCCCAAATCCCGCCCCGGGCCGGGATCGGCAATTCCCGCAGTCCCCGCCGCGGCCGGCAGGTGGCGCACGAGAGGGCGTGGGCTCCTGCCGTGACGTCACGGAACGGGGCGGGGCCTGCGGGGCCTCAGGCCCGCGGGTTCATTCATAAGGAGGAGGCGGGAGCGACGGGGCCGCCCCGGGGGGAGCCCGGGGGCTCCGCGGCAGGGACAGGTAGGGGACACCCCCGGGACACCCCCTCGACACCCCCTCTGCCCGGGGCATTCCCCCTTAAAGGCCGTTCCCCCGTGCGGGGCTCTGGGCTCGGGGTTTCTGCAGCTCTGGGATGGGCGAGGAGGGGGCCTCTGGTGCTTTTTGGGGTGCTCGACCCCCCGCTTTGCTGGCTTTGTCTCGGCTCTTTTGTCCCTAAAGCACTCCCGCCGGGAGTGGGGTGCGCCCCGCGGGGCCGGGAGGCTGCGGCTGCTGCAGCGCCAAAGTAGGCTAAAATAAGGGGTGGAGAGGAGAAAAAGTAGGTTAAGGAATACTCAGCAGCAGCTGCCTGGGAAAAGACGCGGCAGCCGTGCCAGGTCTCTATTTTATTTTTTGCCGGAGCTGGAAAATCCCATGGCTCGGAGCCAGGGGCCGGGGATGCTGCGGGATGCTGCGGGATGCTGCGGCGCGGGGCCGGGACGTGGCTCTGCCGGGGCTGCGCGCCTCCCCAGCGCTTCCCCGGGGCTGGTTTGACTTTAACGCTGGAATTTCGTGGCGGCTCGGTCGTTCCCACAGCTCCCCTGGGAGCCGGGGGGGCCGTAATGCAGAGTTTCGCTCCATCTGCCGGACAATCCCCTCCTTGTCCGGGGCTGTCTCCGCAGCTGTTCCCCGAAGTTTTTCCGAACAGTTGCTCCTTTTTCCCTGCGTTTGTCTGCAGGAGCCGGCGGCTGAAACCCTGCTCCCCCACGGGGAGGGGAAGCCCCGGCTGGAATCCCGGCGGGCAGTTTTGGGTTACACATTCTATTAAGGGGGGCTGGGAATAAACGGCTCATGTGATCCGGAGGGATTTCAGGACGTTTCCAAAACCGAGTCGCCTCTTCTGGCGTGTTGGCATTGATGCGCCGGTCAGGTGGGGCTCGGAGCTTGGAGAGTCCCCAAAAAGAGCCGGGTCTGGCGCTGGCAGGGTTATTTTTGGTTCCCTCTGCTTCTTGGAGGGGCAAATTCTGTGGGTTTGGGGAGTGTGTCAGGGCAGCTGGGCTTCCCAGCGTCACCAGCCGGGGGTCTGTGCCTGTGTACCCCATCCCCACTTGGGATGGCCCCAAGCTGCCCCCAAAAGTGGGTGCTGAGTCCTGGGCAAAGCTCCAGTGGCAGCCAGGAGCTGGCACCCCCTGCTCCCTGACCTCCTGCGGCCCTACGGCCGCTTTTTGTTCATCTGAGGGATGCCCTTAATCCCGGGATTAAGCTTGGCCTCCAATCAGCTTTACCCCTGCTCCTGGTGGTGTTTAGATCCAGTTATCCTGATCTGGAATGCTCGTGGTCCCTCGGCCACGGCGGGACCTTCCTGTCCCCTCCTGGGGCCGTTTCTTCCCCAGCTGAGCTGCTCCCCAGGCGTCTCAGTGTGTCCCCAAAGTGCTCAAATTGCACAGCCCCAGGGAATTAAAATGCTCCACGTCAGGTTAAAACTCGAGTTTTATTGGATTATAGGATGGAGAGCTTGCACAGAGCACCAGCATCCCTTTGTGCTCGAGGGGCACATCCCGAATCCCTGGGGGATTCAGGAGCGGGGCTGGCTCCGTGCTGGCATCCTGGGGGAGTGCTCTGTACTGGGAGGGGACTGGAATACAGAGGATGCTCGTTTTGGGGTCTGCTCGTTTTGGGTGTCCCAACCCACATCCTATAAACCCCCAGCTCGGCCCCGCTCACCCCCAGGACCCCTCACGTGTAATTAGCCGCATCTCAGCGTGGTGCTGGCCACTAATTAGGAGAAACTCGTCAGGCACAGGCTGTAATGAAGCTCTGCCAGGGCTCTCACAGGACCGTGACGACCGGGGGGGAATTTCCATGCGGGTGGCAGGGTTTCCATGCAGGCAGCAGGATTTCCATGCGGAGGCTGGATCCGGGTTTGGGTTATTATTTATTTTTTCCTTCCTTCCTTCCCCTGTGCTGTCAGCATAGATTTTAATTTTAACAACCAATTGCTGAGCCTGAAGAGGGGGGATGAGACTCTGGGAAACACCTCTTGTTTTGTTCGAGATTTTATTTAAATATTTTTAAAATGTTTTTTAGTGACTTCATTTCCTTGTGACAGATGCAAAAGGATTTCCTCCGGAGCAGGAAAAACCTTTCTTTAACTTTGTTTAGCATCATCTGCTCCTTGCATGAATGGTGTGACTCCACTGCTGAGGTTGGTCCCTCTCCAGTTTGGGATGGAGCCGGGATCTCCAAGGGAAGGGGTGATGCCGGGCATTCCATAAAATCTCCGAAATAACTTTCTGGGGAATAGCTCAGGACTGCTGCTGTAGGGATATTTAGGCAGCATCCCAGAGGGGAGAAAAAGGGTCCCCAAATTACTTCTCCAGTGGGACTGTCCCTGGATGATGACCCCGGTGCTCCCCCTTGGGCAGGTCCCCCTGGGCGATGAAGAGGAGCGGGATGCACTGGTGGCTTGTCACCGTCCTGGGGGTGAGTATGGCCTCGTCCATCCCATTCCCATCCCATTCCCATCCCATTCCATCCCATCCCTTTGCTTCTCCGATGCTCCACCCCATCCCATTCCCATCCCATTCCCATCCCATCCCATTCCATCCCATCCCATTGCTTCTCCGATGCTCCATCACCACCCCATCACCACACAGGACACGGGGATGGTTTTGCATCCGTCCCGGTGCATCCAGTGAGTTCATATCCCTCACCCCGCTGGAGGAAGCCATCCGCTGGCCGTGGGGCAAGCGACAGGGTGGCGTGTGCCACCGTGCCACGGAGCCGCAGCGCTGCCGGCAGGAGCGGCGCTGAGCGCTCCGATCTCCCGCAGGTGCTGAGCGGAGCTGCCCGGAGCGCCGGGAGCTGCAGCGCCCCGGAGCAGGGCACAGCGGGATGCCCGCCCGGAGCCGAGCCCAGCGGGGTAAGCCGAGCCCAGCGGGGTAAGCCGAGCCCCGCGGGATAAGCCGAGCCCAGCGCGGTAAGCCGAGCCCGGCTGCGGGACCCGCGCACGGCTCACTCCCTTTCCCGTCCCGCAGGATCCAGCCGGGTCGTGCCGAGCTTGTCCCCCCGGCACCTTCTCGCCGGGGGACGCGTCCTGCGCCGCTCACACGCCGTGCCGGGCCGGGAACAGGGTGCTGGTGGCAGCGGGGACGGCGGCGAGCGACAGCCGCTGCGGAGCGTGCCTGCCGGGGTGAGCCCGGCCGGGGAGCCGAGCCCCAGCCCCGCCCGGGCCGGGGGCCGTGTCCTGACCCTGCCCTCCCGCCCCGCAGGTTTCACAGCCCCGGAGGGGAGAGGGAGCCCCGGGGCCGGTGCCTGCCCTGCGCCGCTGCTCCCCGCAGCACCCCGGGGTGCGCAGGTGGGTGCTGCAGCCGCAGGTGTCACCCCGGGGACGCCGCGGGGAGTGTCCCCCTTGGGATGGCCTGGCAGCCGAGGACACCTCTGCTCGCGACGCAAGCGGCTTCTGCTCGCCTGGGGTCCAAGCCTGGGGTTTATCCCAGCAAAGCTCCTCTCTGAGGGTGATCCCGTCCTCCCCGCAGGCCGGCGGCGAGCCCGCAGCCCCGAAATGCCGGGCCGGGCACCGGGAACCAACGGGACACGCGTGACCCTGCTGGGTGAGGAAGAGGAGGAGGCGGCAGCAGCGCAGGCGGCCGTGCTGACCATCGTCCCGGTCTTCTGTGCCATGGGATTGTTGGGAATCCTGGTGTGCAACCTGCTGAAGAAGAAGGGTTATCACTGCACAGCCAGCAAGGAGCCCCAGCCCGGTGGCACCGGTGAGCCCCGGTGATCCCACATCCCTCTCATCCCACATCCCTCTCGTCTTGCTCAGCCCATTCCTATGGTTGCTGGTTCTCCTTGTCCCAGGGCATCCTGGGGTGCCTCATCCCCCATCACCGAGTTTTCCCTGACCTCTGCTTCCAGGTGCCAGCTCCATCTACCAGCTGGAGGATGCCAACGAGGACACCATCGGGGTGCTGGTGCGGCTGATCACCGAGAAGAAAGGTCAGGGGGTCCCTGGGAAGGGGGAGGAGGGGGTGACCTGGGCCAGAGCCCCCTGACCCCCAGCCCCTTGGTGCCCTCCCACACGCAGAAAATGCAGCAGCGCTGGAGGAGCTGCTGAAGGAGCACCAGAGGCAGCAGCTGGTGCCACCGAGCTGTGCCCCCCTCAATAAGTAAGAGTCTCCCCTGAGGACCCCCCGTGCTGGGACCACCCCCACGCTGATGCCGTTTCCCCCCTCCCCAGGCTGCACCTCCTGCCTCAGTTTCCCCCAGCCTGCCAGCACCAGCAGCACCCGCACACGGTGCAGGGACCGGCCCCGTGTGCCCGCTGCGACCAGAAGTGGCCCGAGGTGCTGCCGTCGCTCGGTGCCACCAAAGTCCCCAAACCTGGAGCTCCTCCCAGCGAGGTGACCATCCTCTCCATCGGCAGGTAGGCAGGGACGGCCCCCGGTGTGTGTCCCCTCCGCAGGGGTGGGGACAGGCTGACGTGCTGCTCCCCAACAGGTTTCGGGTGTCCCGGATCCCTGAGCTGAGGAGCGAGGCAGGGGGGGAGCCCCTCCGTGGTCCCCTCCCCGGCGGCAGCGGGATGTGACCCCGGGATGGAACAGCACCAAGGGCCCCCACGAGGTGAGGGGGGGTCGTGGGGAGCCCTGGGGTCCTTCCTGGACAAAGGGGTTCTGAAGGCTGGGAAGTGGAGCATTAAGGCTGTGGGGACACGGTGCGGGGACAGTGAGGCAGGAGGGAGGGGGTGTCCCTGCTGCAGGGTGCTGGCAGGGCCTGGCACGGGGTGGCACGGCCAGGGGCTGCTCCGTGACTCATGGGCAGCTGCAGGGGCTCACGTGCCCTCGCTCACGTCCCCGTGTCCCCTCCTCCAGCAGCGCTGCTGCTGTGACCATCCAGCTCTGGGCCCCTCCCGACGTGAGCATGGAGGGGCTGGAGAGTGTCCAGGGCAGGGAACGGAGCTGGGAAGGGAATGGAGCACCAGGAGAGGCTGAGAGAGCTGGGGAGGGGCTCAGCCTGGAGAAAAGGAGGCTCAGGGGGGACCTTGTGGCTCTGCTCCCAGGGAACAGGCACAGGACAAGGGGAAACAGCCTCAACAAACTGTGCCAGGGGAGGTTCGGGTTGGGTAGTGACAGCCAGGGATGGGTGACACCGAGTGGCTCCTGCCACCCTGGGTGGTGCCAAGGGGCCAATCCAGGCTCACCTGTGGCACATCCCTTGTCCTCCACAGCAGGCACCTGGCCTGGGGGCTGCCTCGGGGTCAGTGACACCCACAAGGACCCCGTGGAGGGGGTGGAGGACACTGGGCATTGTGAAAGCCAGTCCAGCTCGGAGCTGCGAAGTGCTGGAGGTGGCAGCTCAGCTTCTGCTCCCGCCACCAAGGTGTCCAAGAGCAGCACAGCAAATCCAGCGTCTCGCTCGGCTGGTGAGAAGGATTCTCTGTCCCTGAGGCCTGAGGGTGGCCACGGCGTGGTGGCCTCATAGATTGGAACTCCAGGAGCTGCGATGCCAGTGGTGGTGGCCACGGGAATCATCATCTCTGGGAACCACGATGCCACAGCACAGCTCCACTGGAAGCACAGGGGGCACTGGATGCCATTTCATGGTCACCCTCTGGGTCTGTTGAACTCTCCAGGACCATCACGAACTCCTGATTTCCCTCCATCACCTGGTGCCAGCGCTCAGGATAGTGAATCACTGGATCACAGAATGATTCCCCCCTTCCCAGCAGCCCAGCTGGGGCATGGATTGCTCTGGGCAAAGCTGGTCTCCTGCATCCATCCATCCATCCATCCATCCATCCATCCATCCTCTCTCCAAAGTCTCAGCTCAGGAGCACACGGTGCTGATGCTCACCATGCAGATGACATATTTCACTTTCCATAGGAATTGCTTCTATGGGGTCACGCTGGCTTGGCCGTGTTGGGATCACTGGGATAACCCACCCAAGGTTGGGTTGGAGACCATCAGCCTCAACCACCACCCCAAAAAAGGGTTTATGGCTGGCCCCATTCACCTCCCCACGACATCACCGTGCCAAAAAACCAACCACCAAACCCTCTGGGGCTCTTTTATTTATTTATTTAATTTTTTTTGGAAACATTTTAATAGTTATCGAATGTTCTACATCTTACAGTAAATATCGTACAGTTACAAACTCTTGGCTGAAATCTGTCAGGGAGATCACGACCTGATCTTCAGAACCAAAACCAGAACAGAAAACAAACGGGAAAACAACCCCAAATTTACACTTCAGATGGACAAACTGAGGCTGTGGGGCTCTCCAGGGCATCAGTCCAAGGCCATGTTCCCTACACACCTGTGAGATGTAGACTTGGAAGACGTGGTTACTCTTGGGTTGAAATTTTTTTTTTGTTGTTGTTCTTTCAGGGAATTTTTTTGGTATTTATTTTTATTTAAGAGGTCCAATAATACTTAAAAACGAGCTGGTCTGGTGGTCAAAATCAATTTAAAATTAATTACACGGAAAGAGGGGTGGGAGCCTGGTGTGGGTTGAGGCCGTGTTGTGGGAATGGGAGGGTTTGGGTGTGATCCTGCACTTTGCCATGCTTCCCTACAAATCCCTCCCCTGATCCTGAACCCCTCTTCCCCCTGGAAAATTCCATCTCCCAGCTCCATCTCTTGCAGGAGGATGCAGGGAGGCTGCAGGTGGCCATGTTGCATCAAGATTATTCCCTACAAGCAGCACAAGCGAGCGCTTCCAAACGGGAATCGCTCCTGTCAAACCCCAGATTTTGCTATTCCTGCCCTGCAAACATTCCCACAAGCTCTTCTGCCTGATTGCCAGAGAATCTCCAAGTGCCATGGTGCAACATGCCACAGAAATGCCTTTTCCAAGGATTTCCTCCCTCCCAAGCTCGTCACAGATTTTATTTTCCTTTTTTTTCCCCCTAAGGGAATGCTAACACACAGCAGAGAAAATATTTGGGGGCTGATCCTGGCTTGGGAGCAAAGCCAAGGGAAGATGGGCAGAGGGTCACCACAGCTGGAGGGCCTGAAAATATTGGCAATTAGGAAAAAAAACCCAAACCAAAAATACCTGGATTTATGGGTATCCAGCAGCTCTTATTGCTATTGTTGGCTGGTTGGATTTTACCAAAAATAAAGCCTCAAGTGTTATTTTTTTCCATCCTGCTAAAAAAACCAGGATCTCATTTCTTGCCCTCCAGCTGGGAACCACATCATCCCCACGATCCCAGAGGGGATGGCAAAGAGTCAGGGGGGTCTCTCTGGGAAGGACCAGATTCAGTGGGACGCTGGTGGCTGGAGGAAAACCTGATGCTCTGAACACCCCTCATTAAAACAAACCCCTTAAATAACATTTCCTGGGAATTACATCCCAAAACTGCAACGGTGCTGAACAGAGTGATTTGTTATTCATAAAATGCAGTAGGAAATCCTTGCCCGGAGGGTTCAGCCACTTGGAGGCATGATGGCCTCAGGCTCCAAGGGGCTCCTGGGCTTTGGGGGTCACCACCACCACTAAAATCCGATTTTCCCCCCAAATCTCACCTCGCAGCTTGTGTTTTGAAGTAAAGGTAAGGCCTGGGATGGGTTAATGGTTCAGAGTTATTTTTTCTTCCTCTTTAGCTGGAATTTTAATCTCAGACACTTCAGTGGCTGCTAAGGATGGTTTAACCCCTCCTGCTCTTTCCCACTGCTGCCCAGTGTGATCCTTCACTGTGGAAAACCCTTTTCCTCAACCAACATCAGCAAAGCTTTGCTGGAATGAATATTTGAGAAGCTGGTGGCCCCCATCAGTGTTCCCCACTGTGACCTTCCCAGGACTCTCAGTTAAGCCATGACTTGACCAAGGGAAGGATTTGGGATCAAGGGAAGGGCAGGGAGCATCTCCCCAGCACCACAGCCCCTCCTTGGGAAGGAGCTACCCAAGCCTGGCACTGTGTGGTGGCCCTGGTTCCACACAGTGGCTCAAGGCTGGTTACCAATGTCCTCACTAAAGCCTCTGGCCCAACAGGTGGCAAATATTTCACCTCTCTACACTTTGGTTAATGAGTATTTCTGCCTGGGAATAATGGGATGAGGAGCTCTGGATCTGCTTTTGATCCAAGCAAAGGAATTAAAACCCAACTGCCCCGTGTCAGGGCTCATCACTGGGTGATCCACCACGCTCAACTCCTGGGGCTTTCTCCCCCACCTTTAATGTTTCTTTTCCTTCCAGGAGAAAGCCCAACATCTCCTTTCCACACACGGGCCAGAATTTTAGGAGTGGTTCCTAACGTGGTGCAGGGTGTCTGGGACAGTGGTGGGATGGTGTCTGCTGGGACAGGGACCCCAAAGCTCACTGGACCCCACAAACCAGAGCGCCTTTTGGGAGGCCTGACTCAATGCTGACAGACATTAACACAAAGTCAGCATGAGAGGGGGAAAAAGGGGATCTCAGAAGTCTTCAGTTCTTAGGATCTGGGGATTTTTTTGGCCCAGGTTTAACTGCAATGTGCTACAAACAGTGCAAGGATGATGTGTTGGTGTTATTTCCCAAGGTCCTGCTGCTCTTTACTAATCCTTGGCTTTGCCAAGCCAAATGGGGAACCCACTGCCTATTTGCTCTTTTTCTCTTTTCTCCTTCTCCTTTCCCTCAATACCAGTCCAAAGTGCAGCCCAAGGGTGCCCCTTCCCCACCCCACAGCACTGGTATCCCCCCACAGCAAATCTCCCCCCACTTTGTTCCTCTTGAGGCTGAGGAGGGCAACCAGAGCTTTGCTCTAGATTTCCTTCAAAACCAGCAGAATCAACCAAATGACCCCCAAACAGAAGTGCCAACACCCAACCTGACAAACCTCCTGGGACCAGCCAGTGGGAGGGAAAGTCCTCCTGGGATCCCTAGGCTTGTTACTCCCCACCTGGCCCATGCTCCAGAGAAGGAGCTCCAGGAGCAGAAGCCAAGTGGGGAGACTCCACCGAGAGCACGGAACACTTATGGCACACTTGAGGCAAAAATCAAAACCCAACCAAGCTTTTGTCTTAAAAAAACCCCAAAGAAGTCCCAAAAACCTTGTTTCTATGCTGGGTTTAGTGACAAGGATTTAAAAACAAACTGGCCACAAGCATTGTCTGCAAATCCAAACTGCCTCTGCTGCCCTCAAGACAACTTATTGCTCTACTTGGACACCCCGAGGGGGGATGTCACCAGCTTCCTGTCCCCATGTCCCTGGGTAAGCCAAACCCCCCCAAAATTACCCTGATGCCCACAGCCTCTGCGTGCCCAGTGTTCCCCATCCTGGTCCATGTCAAGTGTGGATCACCTTCCCTGCTGTCACCTCTTCTCAGGTGCCTTCCCGTGAAGGAGGCGACGTGTTTATTGCTATTTCTTCCTCCTCTCCCACCTCTCCAAGCAGAGCAGCCAGACATCATCCCTCTCCCCGGCCTTCCTCCATGGTGCTGGTATTTGTGCTTGGATGAACATTTCTCCTGGAAGTCTTGGAGCTGGAACCCAAAGAATGGGAGGGGGACACCTCAACTGCCATGGAGGCAGCGCAGTTTGGTCTCAGCCCTGCCAACACCATGGGTGCAAGCTGAAGCCACCCACCTTGCCTTCACCCTGCCTTGAAGACTCATCTCCATCAACCAGACGCCCTCCTTTCCCACACCACCATACTCTGGAGAAGCTCTTCAGACCAAACCCTGAATCTGGAGGAGCTCCTCAGACCCAACCCTGAACCTGGAGGAGCTCCTCAGACCAAACCCTAAACTGAGAGAAGCTCTCCAGATCAACCCTTGGACCTGGAGAAGCTCTCCAGATCAACCCCTGGACCTGGAGAAGCTCTCCAGCCCAACCTTTGGACGTGTCCTTGTTTCCCTCAGCAGCTGCCCAGCACATCTCTGCCTGCAAACAGCAGCCACACAGGGAAGGAGCCGCCTTCTCCCTCACACTGCCCCAGGACGTGGCTGAGGGGGAGCATCCCGTTTTCCCAAGGGGTTCCAGATGCTGCCAGGGCATGCATCTTCCTGCTGCTCCCTTCCCATCACCCATGATCCATGTGCCCAGTTGGAAAAAGCAGACCAAAGACCCGCTGGTGACCAGTCCTCGTGCTTCCTAAGACAAGTGTGTTACGTCGCTAATTATATTTATATTCTCTTACTCCTACAAAAAGAAGGGATGAGTTCAGAATTCCACTGCAGATAATGCATTTATAATCTATCACGACAGCTATCTGGAAGACACCAATTTTCTTGTAATATGTTATGAAAGATTGAATAATTTATATTCTTCAACTAAAAATACCCAAACCAAATCGGAATAAGCCTGCCTACCAGCGCTGTGCTTTTCACATAGTACCCTGAACATCAACCACTCTTACTAGCCAAAAAAAATCTAGGCTCTTGTCAACAACAACGACAACAGAAAAATAACAAAAAGAACCCAAACGAACAAGAAGTGGGGGGATCTCTGCACCACTCAGCTGGGCAATGCTGGAAAAGTGAAGATTCTGAGCTTTCAAATGATAGGACCGAAGAGAGAACTTGACTATTGCTCAGTGTCAGTATGTGTGTTACACAATTCATGTGGGAGGGGGAGGAAGGGGGGAAAAAAAGAGGCAGAAGATTAGAAAAAGCAGCTTTTACAAAAACCACTAAAGAATGCATAAAGTGACCCTTGCACTTTTTTTTTTTTCTTTTGTTCTTGCAAACAGACGAGGCGCTGAAGCCCAGCGGCCGCAGCGCCGATGTAAGACTTGTGTAGTTGCATACAATGTTTGACTCCGGATCTGGAAGAGAGCAAATACATTAAAAACAGGGAGTTAGAAGGATGTTCTCCTCCTCTCTGCACCTCTGCACCACGTGGAGCTGATCCGTATGGAATTTAACAGTCCCTGTGGGCAATTTGTCAGGCAAGGGAGCTGGGAAAGCAGCAGCTCGCCGGTGGTATCCAACGCAGAGGATTACAAATATGCAGATGAGCTGCTCCCTGCTAATTGCACACCAATTTGGGAGGGGCAGGATTAGCCCGGTGTAATTTGTGTGGCACTGAGAGATTTTAGATAACCCCGGGGCTGGATGGGATCTCCCTGGGCAGCATCGTGTTCCCATCAGCTGCCTGTCCTGGTAATTGGGCATGATGGGCCAAGGGCTGCAGGAACAAGCAGCTGGGATTTCTGGGATCCCAGGCATGACAGGAACACACAGGCAGCCGCATGCAACCCCGTGCTAATGAACAGCGTGATCTCCCAGCAGGGAAAAGGAAATATTCCAGTGACAGAAAGATGGGGAGGGACTCTTTGTCAGGGAATGCAGTTAGAATGGTTTCAAAGTGCCACAGGGCAGGGTTAGATGGGACATCGGGAAGGAGTTCCTCCCTGTGAGGGCAGGGAGGCTGTGGCACAGGGTGCCCAGAGGCAGCACTCACATGGATTGGCCAGTGGTTTACCAGTGTGGAGGTACGTAGCTGTAGGTGGGGGTTCCTTGAGCCCTGTACGTTGGCACGGACACTGGATGTGCTCCGATGGCGGTGTGTTGGGGGGTGGTCAACAAGGTTCCTGCAGGGACACAGAGACACTTGTCACGGAGCAGAGGAACTGCCATTTGTGGGTACAGTGGGGCAGGAACAGCATCAGCTGCCTCCTTTTCCCTCTTCCCCTTTTTCCCTTCTCCCTGATAATTCTTCTGCCTGCCAGACCTGATTCAAAAGTGTTGGACCCACATGACTGGGATCAGGCAGCACCACAAACAGAATTAGAGCCCCTGAAGCTCCAGCAGGTTTTCCATGCTACCTCTGGCCCTTAACCTTAAGGGTTTTCCTTGTTTTTTCCAGTGATCCTTGTCCCTGAAGACAGGAAGCAAAGCTGGCCACAACCTGCTGACATCTACCTGCTGAAAGCACTGTGCTAAACTGGGACAGCAAATCACTGCACAGATCTGAAACAAACCGGAAGGGATGAGGGATGCAAAGGGAGATGAGGAAAAAAACCCAACAGACCTCCATGGAGAATTAAGATGAGCCTTTTTTTAAGTCTGCAGCCGGTCAACAGAGAGGTTTTAGATCAGAACTTGCACAGTGCCTTCACGGGGATGGAGGACACAGCCCTGGACTACTCTGTTCTGGGAGCAACTGGGTGCTCAAACCAAATTCTCAGTTTCTGGGTATCTCTCTGAAAATGTTATTAATGAAATTCCAACACATCCCACGTGCATTAATTACATTTATCCACTTCTCAATATAAGCAACAGTAAATCTCTCAGAGTGGTTCTTGTCACATCCAGGCTGCAATATCTCTGCTTGGAATAGGGATTGTGTCTCATTACAGACTCCTATTTCACAGCTAATGCAGATGCAAAAGGATGAATGATGCATTTCTTGGCATAATTCAATATACAATCCCAAGAATTGTTAAGGAGAAAAATACAGGCTTTGGAAAAAATAAAACCAGCCCCTATCTTACTTAATGTGCTATTAATTACAGTTAGAATCTGCATGTAAAATGTAGAGGAACTGGGATAGATAACACAAGGTTAACATTCATTTTGTCAGACAAAAAAACATGACCAAAAGTGTCTTTAAAAAAAGTGCTCGAGGGAAATACAACTAGTTGAGGACGGACCAATCTGGTTATTCCTTCACTTAGGGAACAGGCAGAGGAATGGACAATATATTTAAGGATACAGAATAATATATTTAAGGATACAGAATAATATATTTAAGGATACAGAATAATATATCTAAGGATGCAGGAGTGAGCCAAACCAAAGGTCTCCTCCGATGAGTCAGATCAAGATTTGGGGCAAATTACTGCATTTCTGCCTGCACAGGAGCAGTGCCCATCAAACAAAACCAGCAGGTGAACCGAGGGCTGGGATGCAGGGGGAATTTTTTTTTGCCCAGGCCTCAGAGCAGGGGAAGGGCCGTGTCCTTACCTGCTGACATTGCCATGGTGGTGCCAGCCACCATGCCCATGGCCACGCCGTTGGTGCGGGGCGCGGCCACCGGGGCCGGGTAGATGGCCGAGGGGATGCTGTTGGGCTGCACCACCGTGGTGTGGTGGATGACGTGAGGCTGGGCCGCGTACACGGGCTGGGTGTAATAAGCTCCCTGTTGGAGAAGGGGGAAAAAAAACAAATGCCACCATCATTCCAGGTTCTTTCCCAAGCTAAGGAGTTCTCGGTTCTGTGACTCGAGCTCTGCCGAAGAGCTGGTGTTTCCATGGATGAGCTCCCGTGCCCATGATGCCTTCTGAAGGCTGAGCTAGAGCAGAGGCTGGGCAGAGTTACAGATTAAAGCAGGGATTTATTAAAAGGATCTCCTCCATGGATCCACCTTGGGCAGCACAAGAGCCCAGGCAGGGACACACCCAAGATGAACCAAAATAGTCACAAAATGCACGAGTGCTCACGGGGTCTCACTTTTATAAGGTCTGCTCCATTTGCATATTGCAGTTAATTGTCCAATTACAGCTTTAGGTTATGAAGTCCCATTCTTCCTGTTTTCCTTCTCTCTTAATTTCACCATTGTTTATGCTCTCAGCTTTAGGTTATGAAGTCCCATTCTTCCTGTTTTCCTTCTCTCTTAATTTCACCATTATTTATGCTCTTAGGCCTGAAATTTGGATCATCCTTGGTCCCCAGCTAGAGAAGGAATTGTTTTGTCTCCCTACTCTGTGAAGAGCTCACCAACACTTAACATGAAGCTCAGAACTGCACACCTAGGCAGAACAGAATCTGAAAAATATGAAAGCTAAAACCTGAGGCATCACCTAGAGACCTGAACCTGGGGATATGGGGAATGCAAGAGGAGGGAACCAACAGTCAAGGAGTCAATCCATCCAGGACAAACCCTGCTGCCTCCCTTTGGTGGGATGAAACAGGGACTGGACACAAACAACTGCTGGCATAGAAAATGAACAAGAGATGGGAGGAAAGGACAAGCCATGGTTCTTGGATGATCCCAAGGTGCTTGGGTCCAGTATTGTGTCATCTTCTTGGGTTTCACACAGGGCTCCAAAATCCAGGCTGCCAAGGCTCTCAGGGTTTTGAAACAAGGGGAGAAGGAGCCAACAGAAAAGGAAGAAAAAGCTTCTCATAGTAATGAAGAGCCTGAAATGAGGAGATGCACAAGGGAGAGAACTGCTGTCCCCAGGACAGGCAGCAGCATTGTAAGGACATGCAAACCAGGCATGGGAGGAAAGAAAACAAGGATTTGAATCAGCAAAAGGGAGATTTTACTGTGCATTAGTGAAAGCCCCATTAGAGAACCTCTGAAGGTCTGGATTAAAGGGAGAAGGAGGTGCAGGGCAACTATTCCATCACTTCTTTCTTTCAGGAGCTACAAATGCTCACAGGACAAATGGCACATTCTGTGGCTGGGATTGGAGAAGAACCAGTGTGCAGGGTTGTACTGCAATGGACTCAGGTGTGTTGGGGCGTGGCCGAGGGGACAGGAGGTGGCACCTACCTGGGTGCACAGGTTCTGCTGTGGGTGGGCACTTGTGATGGGGACAGGAGGTGGCACCTACCTGGGTGTACAGGTTCTGCTGTGGGTAGGCACTTCTGATGGGGTACATCGCGGTTTGGTACGGGTTCGGAGACGGCGAGTAGGGAGGAGGGGCGTTGTTACTCTGGGTCGGTGGCACCTTGTAGGGAGTCCCCGCGGTGTACCCTGCCACAGACACAAGAGGGGTCCCAGTCAGGGCCTGGAATGGCTGCTCAGGGCTGGCAGGAGGGCTGGGAGAAGCCATCCCCTGAGCAAATGGACCCCGAAGACTGCGTGGGATGGAGAGGAGAAGGCAAGGCTCAGCCCAGCCAAAACACTCAAATATATTTAACTTATTTACTCAAATATATTTGGCTCAAATATATTTAACTTATTTACTCCACCAGTGCTCAGCAATTAGAGAAGGCCAAGATTTCAAGTCTAATATCCCACATCATCCTCCAGGCACTGAAACAGGGCGAAGAACACACAGAGCTTTTAGAACTCCCTCCTGATTACTGCAGATTGGAAAAATAGGTGTTAATTAACAAGGGGAATAGCTGTGACTCTTTTCCTCACTCACATTAGCAGGAGAGCAACCATCTTCAAATGAGAAGTGGAAAAGGTTTGAAATATTGATCGGAGCAGAAGTTCAGCCTCCTCCATTAGGACTCCTCCAGGAACCCAGGATCAGCCACAGACCAACCAACCTCCTTGCTTTACATTGAATGGATTTTTTTCTCTATTCTGAACTCGTTTTTTCAAACAAATACCTCAGAGGCTGCCAGTTCTCAGTGTCACACTTCATTTCTGAGGGCTGTCTAGAGATGTGGACCTGCTCAAGCCTGTGTGGTTTCACCACTTTGAATACCAAGACTTGCAGTGTTTCCTGACTGATGAATCACGGACAGTTTATCTCCTATATTAAAAAGGTATTAAAACATAATAACCCAGGCAGATGTAATCTGCCGTGTTTATAAACTGGGGAAAAAACACAACAACCTGCAGGTAAAACAAAGTGAAAACAAGGTTTAATGACACAAGATGATAGAGGCTCCTCTCTGTCTGGCAGGTAATTTTAAAACCTAATTATGACTAACACCTTATTAGGATTAGGCTGCCATGGCCCGTGCTGCTGCCGCTTTGTGGTTCAGCAGCAGCAGTGAGCCTTTAAGCTCCATCTTCTATTAAAATTGCTGATTAAATCCCTCATGTCACTCGAGAAATCTCAGCCTTATTGATCCTGCAGCTCACAAGTGCCCTGGATTGCACAGAAATGTTTTTCTATAAAAAGCTTCTTAGGGGGGGAAAAGAGCTCAGTGGGGAATTTTGTGTTGCCGTCCCCGCTTGTTTCCAGGGTTCACCCCGAGCAGGATTCCTCAGCTGGGCATGGAACTGACAGGATGTCCACAATTCTGCCCCTCTGCCTCCCTCAGGTGAAATCCCACCTGCAGAGCTGCCTTCAGCCCTGGGGACACAGCAGAAGGACATGGAGCTGCTGGAGAGAGCCCAGAGGAGGCCACTGAGATGCTCCGAGGGCTGGACCATGCCCGGTGTACAGCCCCTACCCCAAGGAATGGTAGAGACATCCTTTTCCCAAGAGAAAGTCTCCCAAAGGCTTTTAAAATATTTATTTTTAATAACTCTTTTCTTAAAAAAAAAAAAAATTACATTTCTTCATCTCACCTTGTCATGTAATTGATTGAATTTAGTAAGAAAATGGAGTCTGGAGTAGCTGTAAGGTGAGGAACACTCTGACCCCACACCACTCATGCCCCAGATTAAGCAGGGGCCAGAGGACATCCCACATACCAGGGAAAGCATCCCAAGGTTTATCAGGGAGCTTATCAGCCCTCCTGGAGGCACTACTTATCCTCTTCAGGGATGAGATGACAAGGCTGCACTGGAAAAGCCTGTTTGACTGTGATCCCTCAATGGCATCGCCTCCCCCTTCTCCTGCTCAGCCAGCCTGGCTTACAAGGTGGGAGTTTCAACAGTGTTCTTTGAAAATCAGGCTTTATTGTGGAATTCTTTCAGTTTTAAGGGAATGGGGAATAATGTCCCTTTGGAGATAAACACCTGTCAACAACCCCAGGTTGCTCCCAGGGATCAAACACTCAGCTAAGAGAGAGGTTTCACCTTCTCCACTGGAATTCCTCCTCTGCAGGAGCAGCAAGAGGGTCAGTGCTCTTCTTTCATGGTCCTTCATGGTTTTAATCCATCAAAGCCAGGCTGGATGGGGCTTGGAGCAACCTGGTCTAGGCGCAAGTTGCCCACAGGGCTTGGAGCAAGATGGTGTTTAAGTCGCTCCCAACACAAACCAGTCTTTGATTCTGTGATCCCAAATAACCCTGCCCACAAATCAGTCCCCAGCAGGGGAGGCAAACAGACACAAACCAACCCAGCAGCCCCCACCAGAAGGAAAGTTTATTTACTGAATGCTGCAGAAGAAGCCTGGTAGGTTCTGTTCTCGGTGCCAGCGTCCACCGGGAGGTGGAAGGTGCCCTCGGTGGCACAGGACGAGGAGGTCTGGGGCCAGGCCTGCTTCATCAGAAGTGTGGCTGGAGTGGACACAGAGAAGAGGTGTCACACAGAGCAGTGACAGGCAACTTCCCACACTTATGTCACCTTGGAATCACCTTGTTAATCTCTTCCCTCCAGGTTCCTACCCCTGAGGTGCTGAGCCCCACGGAAGGGACTTCACTCCCCGGTCAGGGCTTGGAGATATTCCTGGAGTCCCAGGGCTGAGCAAGGATGTTCCACACCCTCCACACCTGCTGAGACTCTGAATTAACCCTCTCTGAAGGTACAGCTGTAAATCTGGAGTGTCACAGGGCTGCAAGCTGGGAATTATTGGGATCAATCCTCTGGAGTGGGGAGGCTGAGGAGGAATTGGCAGTGGGGTCACAGCCTGCAGCAGCACAACACATCGCAGTGGATGGAAATCCACCTCCCAGAGAGTGCAGGGAAGCACTGCTGCAGGTCTGCTGGTCCACCAAGCCCTCCTGAGACTCTCCCAGACTCAGACAGGAATGGGGAGCACAGAAACACCCAGCAGTGCTGCTTTGCTGGCCATCAGCAGCTGTGGGAGATACTCATGGGTGTGAGATCCACCCGGAGATGTGGAACCCTGCTCCTCCCTCCTCCAACAGAAAACCAGGAGCTTTGTGGGAAGTCAGAGATTCAAACCCAATTTCTCCTCCACTCAGTCACTGATCACTTTCTGCTCCAAGTGTCTGCCCTCTCCCAAAGGTTTGGGAGTTATTAAGGATTTCCAGGCTGCCTTGCTTTATTTTCCATGCTAGGCTGCACTCAGGAACATCACACTGGAGAGCAACTCCCAGTGCTGCCACAGAAACACTCCCTCAATTATGCTTTTATTCAGAATCAGATTCACTTTTGCCTCTGGATTTCACAGAGGTTTTAATTTCTGAGACTGATGAGACAATTCATTCCAATGTTACATGAATCCTTCCTCTGTGGTTTTCCCTCTCCACATTAAACCTGCCACAAAATCAAGGCAATTTGGGTTGGAGATGGCTGGGAAACTGTCAAAACTCTGCATGTTCTTTATTAAATCATGGATCCTCAGAGAATCCATCACTTAAAACTACACAAAAGGTGGACCAAGGAGGCTTCCAGGAACATAAATACCACCTGGTCCTTTGCAATAATTCACAGGGATCACAATCCAGCCATGACTATCTAATATCATTTAAGGGCTGCCTCCAACCAGTGTCTTCTGGATTTGGTTTATCCTCTCACCTAAATATAAATAAAATAAAGAGTTTTTATTAATTATCAGTTTAATCCCTGGTAAATCAACCAGTGGGAACTGAGCAAACAACGTGGGCTGTGGGTCTCTGCAGCACTGGGACTGCTCTGTTTTCCTGACAGGACCTTTAGATGACGTGAGAATGTTCGGGACATATTTTAAGTGGAAAAGACAAAAATACAAACCCTTTCAAAGCATTGTAGGATATCTTGCTTCCCTCTAACACCCTCATTTGTGATGGATACAGCCTCCAGCCCTGAACAAAGTTTGCAATAAGCTCAATTCCCCAGGCAGTCCTGTGCCTGAGCTCCTCAAAAGGATGGGAACATTCATCCTTGGAAAGCCTGGTGAGGCACCACGGGATATTCACCTCTCCAGACCCCAAGGTACCCCTTAGGGACCCACTGGTGTCCCCAAAGAGTCACTGGGCACCTCTAGAGGATGGCTCAGAGCACTGCTGATGCTCCCACTCCCTTCTGCAAAGCAGCATTTCCTCCAGGCAGCATCCAGAAGCAGGAATGGGGGATTGGAGCCTGCGTCCTGTCCCACGACACTCCCACACAGATCCCTAATTTCTGAGGCTGGTTTCAGTCCTGCTCTGTAAGGGCACTGCTGCAAAGCCATCACTTCTGCCCTGCATTATTAATAAACACAGCTCCAGCCTCAGCCAGGCTCCACGAGCAAAGTGCGTGTCCTACTTTCAGGAAAAGAAAAAGGGAGGCTTTAATGAAGGAAGTTAAAACAAAACAACCACGAGCAAGACAGAATGCCTGCGAGGGAACATGCACCAGGCTTAATGAAGACATACATAATTTTATTTTTTTTTTATTGTGTCTCTGCAGCAGAGTGATTTTAGATGCTCATTTCTGCATACTTAAAAGGGATTTTTTAAGAACATCAGGCTTATTGCAAGCGTGAGTTTGCAATGCTGGTGTTTTGCCTTGTGTCTCTCCCTCTAAAAACTGTGGAAAATGCAGCAGGAAAAATCACACAAGGCAGGAACTTGAAGTGGAATGGAAAGGAATTGATAGAATCACAGAACATCCTGAGTTGGGAAGGATCAACCAGGATCATCCAGTCCAACTCATGCCCTTGCTTGTAGGGCTCCTTTGGAACAATGTGGGGAATAATCTAACACCTTTTGGGCTCGAACAGCAGCAAATATCCACTCAAAACCTGGCACTGGGAGAGGGAGAAATCAAGACTGGCTCCAGTCACCATTTCCCTTTCCTCACTGGAGGACTGGAGCAAGGGCACTCCAGACTTCTCCAAGTTCCTCTCCTTGTTTCCTTCTGATGCTCTTGCAAAGCTTGGGTCACTACATCATTTAATTTCCCATGTAGATCCCAGGATTTTGGGAACCACGAGGTCAAGAGAAGAGCATGAGGCATGGCTGAAGCATCAGGGAGTGTTTGGAGAACATCAGGGACAAAAGCAGGTGGGATTTGAAAACTGGAATTATCTTCACTCAGGGGTTGATCTCCCACCAAGACTTTGCATGGAATCCACCAAAATTCATGAGGTTTGAGGCAAGAAACATCTGAGAGGGAGCAGGAGCACCAGGGTGGAGCAGAGATGGTGATCAAGCTGGGACAGAATGGTTCTGTTCAAGAGCCCTTGCTTGCAGGTACCTCGCAAGAACTCAGAAACCACAAGCTCTTCCCACCCTTTCCAGCCTCTGTGCCAAGCAGTATTGAGGGGCACCTTTCCCTGGGTAATCTCCATCTGGAGAATCAGATGAACCCTGAGTTTGTGACTGCTTTTTAGTGAGCTGGAGGGATTTCTGCCAGCAGGAACCACCTCCTGCCCAGCCTGGGAGCTTTGGAACAGGACCTTGTCCATGGATGTTCAGGAGCAGTTATTCTGCTGGGAACATGCAGCATCTCTTTCTTTTTTAGACTCAATGTCTAAAATCCCTTAAAAACATAATTAGAATTAGTTTGCTGTTTGAGAAGTTCAGGATTTGAACCCCCAAGCTGACTCCCAGTGTGTTTGAAGGACACCAGGAGCACATTCTCTTTCCAGCCTCCTGTGTGACAGCAGCTCCTTCAATTTGAGGAAACACTCTCTGTACTGATGAAGGTTTTAGCTCAGCCACTGAACCACAGAATTAGCTCAGCCCAATTCCATTTAACACAGCTGAGGATGCTGTCACTCTGTCACATGTCCCCACTGCTGGGAGATTTTATGGCACTTCTTTTCCATCAGTTAGCTCTCAAAGTAACTTATTATTTTTCCTCCTGGAAGTCTGCTTTCCATTGAGAAGGGACCACTGAGTGTGGTGCTGGGAGGTCCTGAGCAGCAGAGCCTGCTCCTGCTTCCCAGAGTGGTTAAAATGGTTTAATATCCTCTGTGATATGAAATGGTATTGATTTCAAGAGCTGTAAAAATTGTTTAGAAGAGAACCACTGAATGGTTTGGGTTGGAAGGGACCTTAAGGACAATCCAGTTCCAACCCTGTGCCTTGGGCAGGGACACTTTTACCTAAACCAGGTCTCTTCAACTTGCCCTCATGATTTATGGGAAACTCTATGAAAAGTTTCAGCATTTTCATTCCTATTTCAATTTCTGATTTTTAATCTTCATAGTTTCCTTGCTAGTTTAGCGCTTAGCTGTGTTAACCACTGGAAGGCTTTTGTTCTCCATAAAAATTGACCTGTCAGCTCTCTGGCCATCAGGAGATTTCCAAGATGGAAATTATTAAATGGTGTCTAAGATGTACAAGAAGGAATTCAGACCCCCCCAAAAAAGCCCTGTCCTTCAGTGATTTGGGGTTTCCTCTCACTTGGGTGTTCCCTTGGCCATGTGCCCACTCAGTGGACGAGCTGCTGCCTGCACAACTGGGGACAAGTGACATTTTATAATATCCAGGCCAAAATGCCAGAATGCTGCAGTATTTACATTCCTGGCTGAGCAGGGAGGACATTGCCAGCCTCTGGCAGGACAAGCTACTAATAAATTTATGGGCTTTTTCTTATTCTATGGAGTTGTTTTCATTTAATTCCTCCAGTGTTTTATCCTTCAGGGGAAAGGAGGGTGGCCAGCACAAATCCAGGGGAACAAAAACTGTTTCATGTTCCATGTTAAGGCTTTAATGGGAAGAAATGCAGCTAAAGACCTTATTAAAAGCACATAAACCCAAACAAAACACAACAGATCCCTTCCAGAAACATCCACAATAAACAGTTTTATGGAATATGTGTAAACTGTGATGTGGAGAAGACAAAACCAAAAGATTTTGGCAACAAACCCTTCATTCCTGTTTCATCAGCCTTGGAAAGCATCTGAGCCTGGGGATCCACTGATTTTATGACAACTGGGAGATTGAAAACTTGGCAATTAAGGGGAAGAGAGGGTTTAGCAAGACTGGCACAAAGTCCAGCTTTGTGTTCCTTATGCAAGCAGCTCTTCCTGCTGCACACCGAGCTCAAAACTCAGCTTCATTTGGAAGTGCTAAAACCCTGCAGCTCTTCTGAGGCAAAACCACTCAAAATAAACATCTCAAGCAACCAGAAGTCGAATTGCAGTGCGAGATATTATTTTTCATCTCCAGTGTGTGCTTGGAAATGGATGAGCAGGGAATGTTCTCAGGCTTTCTCAGGATTTTTACCTGGGGCGTAGCCGGGGCTGCTGGTTGGATACATGTTGGGATTGTAGGCTGGGGCAGCAGTGGGATAGCCTGTTGGATAACCTGAAAGGAGAGGAAAACAGCAGTTAGGATTTTATCAATCAAGCAGGGATGGCAGCCCTGAAAAGCAATAAACAACCTGTGTGAGCACACAAGCCACTGAGGGAAAACACAGGTGGATTGTGTGGGGACAGGAAGGACCACGAATGCGCTCCACATGTGACATCATCAATATTTCATCCTTATTCCTGTAGGAAACAAGGATCAGAATGCAGAGTGCAGGTGTGCTCACTGTGCTTTGGAGAAAACTGCTGGGAAAATCCATACTCTGAACATGGAATTAATGTACAAAACCCCACCAGCACAGCAATACTGGAAAGGTTTTCCTGGGCTGTGTGGCAGCACTTTGGAGAGCTCAGCACTCCCATTAAGCAGAGTTTCTTGCTGAAGGGAAGGCAGGGATCCTGCAGGAAAACATGCCAGCCTTGGATTCACCCATGGCTGCACAAGTGCTGTTCCCAGGAGGGCCCTGATTACCTGCCAGGCCACCTGGAAGGGCCCTTTGGAGCCATGCAAGGTTTAATGGGCACTTTGGGCAGGGCTGCAGAGCATCTTCAGCTTGCATCAGCCTCACTGGGAGAGGTCAGAGGGAGTTCAGGGGAACTGTGTGATGGAAGTGGGGGACAGGAAATCGTGGCACACCCCAGATCCTGTGTGCACCCACTCAGTGCAGGTGTCCAGCATCCAGCTCCTACTTCACTGGAAATTCCTGTCCTCTGTGGAGAGCACAGACACAACCTCTGCACCTCGGTCTGCTCCATTCCCACAGAACCACACGATGTCCTGAGCTGGAAGGGACCCCAAGGATCATCCAGCTCAACACCTGGCCCTGCACAGACACCCCAAATCCCACCCTGGGCATCCCTGGCAAACACTCCTGGAGCTCTGTGGGGCCGTGCCCATTCCCTGGGGAGCCTGGGCAGTGCCAGCACCCTCTGGGGAAGAACCTTTCCCTAAATCCAACCTAACCCTGCCCTGGCACAGCTCCAGCCCTTCCCTGGGGTCCTGTCACTGCTCACCATTTTGCTTTTCCTTTCCTTCAATTTTTTGCAGGTTTTCCCTACAGAAAAGAGCAACACCTGAATAACTCCATCCTCCTTAGGTGCTGCTGAGTAAATCCCCCTGGCACAGGGAACAGGACACATTAACCCTGCTCTGCTGGTGGACAATTTTGGCTCTGCTGAGCGTCACCACCCGGTTTATCTGTGTGTCCCCTTGGCCAGCATCCCAGAGCAGAGCCAATGCAATGCCCTTGGAGAGTGTTTCCATGCCAAGCCCCACTGATACTGCCTGTTGGCTGCCAGCAAAGGCTGCAAGGAGGTAATTAGCAGTGGATTTACACCCATCTTTTTAAATATTTTATTTTATTAAATAAAAGCCAGCATGGGTCTGTACTCCCCTCTTTTGAGCACCAAAAGAGCCACAGAACAGTCCCCCCTCCCACACTCCAAATCCCACTGCTCCCAAACCCTGGCACCACTGACTTGTGTGGCAAAATGTTGAGGTTCATTTGAATAAATCTAATTCAACAATCGTGGCCACTGTACTGGAATAAATGACTGGATGTTCTACCCTCTCATTTTCATCAGTGATATATTTGGCTTCTAAATCAGGTTAATTAAAAATTGCTGTAGTTAATGTTGGATAAGCAGCAGTTTAACAGATTTTTTTTGTTGTTTTTACGCTACACAGAACTCTGTTTTCATCATACCCAGGAATATCTAAACCCTATCAGCAATCAAGAAGCTCCTTAGAAAGTTATTTGCAGATCCAGTGATTGCAAGCAGAGCATTAATGATGAGGATCTTAAATCAGAAATATCCCTTCTCTCCAGTTCATTAGAAGAAAACCACGTCTTTTCCAGGACATTCATTACTCCACACTCTTCCTGTTTCCTCCTGACAATCTGGCCAGGAGTGCTAAACCAGCTCCAGCTCACTTCTTGTGTATTTTCCTGTGTTTCTTCATGGGGTTTTACCTTCTTGGCACATGGTTTAGTGGAATCCCAGACTGGCTGGGGGTGGAAGGGACCTCAAAGATCATCCCAATTCCCTGCCACGGGCACAGATGATGATGGCTGTGTGTGCCATAGTGTTGGGAAGTCACATTTGCAAGGGATCTAGATGACAGGCTCTTGGAGCTCCAAGAGGTTCTTCTGACCCTTTGCTGCTGGAAAATCCCCCCAAATAAGCCCTGAATCCCACAAACTGCTGCAGTCTTTAGTAATTATCCTTAATTTCCTCAGTCACCAGCCATGAGAAACACAGTCCTGTGTTGTCACAAATGTTTCACCTGTGCCCTCTGAGATGCCACCAGCACTCACCCACTGTCAAAATCAGGAAAAAACCTCCTTTACTCGAATTAAACTTTGCAGCATTGGGGTTATACCTTTCCCTCTGAGATGCCACCAGCACTCACCCACTGTCAAAATCAGGAAAAAAACCTCCTTTACTCAAACCAAAATTTGCAGCATTGGGGTTATACCTTCAAAAAAGAGCCTGAAATAAGTAAAACCACACGAAAAGTGAGGTTTTGGGTAAGATTTTCCATCCAGCTGAGTATTGAAGGATTTATTTCAGGCAGATGGAGGCACCTCCATGTGTATTTATAGAATCACAGAATTGTTTCACTTGGAAAAGACCTTCAGGACCATCAGGTCCAATCCACCCCAGCACTGCCAAGGCCACCACTGACCCATGTCCCCAAGTGTCACATCCACACCTATTTTAAAACTCTCCAGGACTGGGGACTCAATTGGTCTTTCTCCTTTTTTTGGGTTTTGGCAGGACTCTTCCTTACCGTGATATCTTTTGTTTTGTTGTTCTGAAGGTAAGTTATGGCTGGGTTTGGATTCATTTCGGCTCAAATAAATGTGATTTCTATCAAGGAAGCTTTAATAGCTTTGGATGCAAAAAGAAGCCCTGCTCTGCACTGTCTTCCACTCTGATCTCATAAACTTTGATAAGTGCTGACCTCCAGCAAGAAAACTTGTCCTTTCTATTTTAAGGCAAAGCAGAGATGGGAAAGGTACAGGAAAATTAGTGTGGATTGCTCCTTTTTTTGGACACAGTGAAAAATAAGAAAGTAGCAGAATCTGGGGCAATTTGTGCCAGAAGAAACATGCCTGGAAATTCCCAGCACTCAAAATCCAGCAGGTTTAAAAATAAATGAGGCATTTTTTATTTAGCAGGGCCTGTTGTGATTGGACGAATGGAGAGGTTTCGAACTGCAGGAGGGTTGATTTAGATTAGATATGAGGAAGACATTTCTTACAATGAGGTGATAAAACATTGGCACAGGGTGCCCAGAGCAGCTGTGGCAGCCCCTGGATCCCTGGAAATGTCCAAGGCCAGGCTGGACATTGGGGTTTGGCCTGGGGTAGTGGAAGGTGTCCCTGCCCATGGACACTGAGTGATCTTCAGAAGGTCTGTTCTGACTCAAAACTACTCCATAATCCTATAATTTTTATATCTTATTGATTTTGTTTGTTGGCTCTTCTTCATCCCCCAAATAATCCCAAATCAGCTCCCACATGGAAGAAAAAGCTGTGCTCCCCCATGACGGTCATGCCTTACATTCCCTTGGGTACAAAACAAAGCCTGGCTCCAACAACCAGGAATGATCTTAGGAGAGGTGACAACACCAAAGCATGCAGCATCCTGCTTGATTTTCCCCCTGGAAAATCCAAGACACCTTCTGTAAATTCCTGCTCCTGCCACTGCTCCCCTCCTGCCATGTCTGTCCTGCCTCGTCACCTTGAATGAAAAATAAGTGCAAGAGGCTCAAAAATAAGAGAGCAAGAGGCTCAAACCCACTTGACATATAATGTCAGGAAGAGAAAGAAAATATCCTTTACTTCCTATGCATCTGCACACGACAGGACTCTGGCTCTGCTGTGCTTGAGGCCTCGCAGTGGTGCAGAAGGAAAGAAAATGAGATGAAAAATATTGAACAAAATTTATTAGATTCCTCCTAGCAGAAATCTAAAGTTGTTTTGCGGCTTATTTTAATTTAATATCATCTCCACAATCAATAGGAGTAAGAAAGGCAGTGTTCATTTAATCTCCTCCCCAGGGAAAGCACACAGCACTCCAGCTCTGGGAAGCACTGGCTGAGCTGCTTTAAAAACCACCACACAATAACTGTGCAAAGCAAAAAGCACACAGGGCTGCATCAAGTAGGTATTTAAAAGCCATCTTTAATTTTTCATGTGTTTTAAGTGTTTCTGTATCATAATCATCTAAATAACACCCAAACCATGACAATACACAAGTGCTAAAGCTCTGAAGGTTCTCTTGGAATTCTTGAAAGGGAATTTGCTTCTCTTTGGCTACAGAGCCCATGCTTGGTCCATGGTCTCAGCCTCCCACCCACTGGGAACTGTCACTTCCAACACTGAATTCCAGAATGTGCCATTTCACTTTTTCCAGAGCAGTTTCATTGACCATTATCTGATCAAGACCTTAATTGCTACAAGCAGCTGACATTAATTTACAAGACAAAATATTTCCCCTCCATTCTTTTCCTTCACCAGTCTCCAGCAGCACAGACTCCTGAAAGCGGCCATGTCACAAGGATTTTTTACAGGACGATAAAGTCCCTTATCTAAGGGCAGGACAAAGCACTGTAAAACCACACTTCAGCTCCTTGAGCTGCCAAGGACTCCAGCTCCACACTTGCTGCAGTTGAGAGCTCAATTAACCACCAGCAATCCCTGGAAGGAGAAGCCAGGCAGCCACACAAAACTACCCCTCTTGTGGCATTACTGCTCTGAGGTGGGTAAATATGAGATGGATTTGAGATAATATGAGGTAAATTTGCTGCCCAGGGCACAGGTGAGTCCCCATGCCTGAATCCATGTGGATGGGGTGCTTGGGGACATGGATCAGCAGTGGCTTTGGCAGTTCTGAGGAAATGGCTGGACTCAGTGGTCTTGGAGGGCTTTTCCAACCTGATTCTGTGCTTCTGTTTTACCAATCCTCCCTCTAAACCCCGTTAGCCAC